TAAAATGGAATAAATAATCATTAAACACCTCCTCCTCCTCCTCAGACTCTTGTTATATAACCAGCGGAAGAACCATGGGAGAAACATTCTGATAATAATAACCAACTGTCCGTAAAGTTATGGTTAGGTAGTTGCCAGTCACATACCTCTGGTAGAAAAACTGCAACTAGCCCTAGCCGGGTGTAGCTCAGTGGATACAGGGTCGGCCTGCAGACTGAAAGGTCCCAGGTTCAATTCCAGCCAAGGGCACGTGCCAAGGTTGCAGACTCAGTCCCCAGTAGGGGCCATGCAGGAGGCAACCGATCAACGATTCTCTCATTACTGATGTTTCGGTCTTTCTCTCCCTCCACTTCCTCTCTGAAATCAATAAGAAAAACGTTTATTTTTTAAAAGAAAAACTATAACTAAACAATTAAATCAACTACCAAGAGCCGAATACTTCTGAAATGACTGTTACTGCCAACAATTTCTACAGCCTTAGCCCGCATGGAAACAGGCTATTGTAGATACTTGGAACCATCCAAGCTTTTAAGGAACTTCCTGCTTTACTCTATAGACTCGCTTAACAATCTATGTGTATAATTATATAATAGGGAAAGACTGGGTTGTTATCAATCATTAGCTCTAGTGCAGGCTTGCTCATTTCTCTGCCTAGTTAGAGGGAATATGTTCAAAGAAAAACAAAGATAGAGAGAATCTGATGGCTGAGGCAGAGAGGTGGGGGTCGGAGACAGAGAAACACGGCGAGAGCAAAAGTTCCCTGCCTTATTGTAAGTGTTACCCTCTAAAAACGGGCTATTGGATCCAGATGTTTCTCTATAGGTGAGGGTCTAGACTACAGACAATGCAGGAAAATGTGCTGAATCTTCGCTGAGTGGGAAATACAAATCCTCCCACGATGGCTCTCTGGAGGGAAAGATCAAATTCCTCCACTGAGAGGAATAAAAAGGTACTAAAACTAAATGGCTCCCGTGATCCCATCTAGACTGATAGCTGAACTCCTCCCGGATGGAACTGTATTATTCAACATCTCCTGGCCACGTGGAGGTTCATAGTGTAGTCTATTGGCTTTGCAATTTTCTCCAATCGTTAATCTTCCCACCTCGTCTGTTACCTTCTCAAGAGCAAGAAAGCTGGACTTCATTGGACAACCATCATTGTTGGCTGCCCTGCCCCTGCCCTGAGGACAGCAGAGTGCAGTGCTCTGCACATTTGAAGGGTGGGTTTACGTTTGTGGTTAGAAATCTCCTGTGAAGGAAATGGAACTGGGATGATTGAGGGCAGTGGTCGGCAAACTCATTAGTCAACAGAGCCAAATATCAACAGTACAACGACTGAAATTTCTTTTGAGAGCTAAAAACCGACTTCTGCGCATGGCCATGAAGTTTCAATCGCTCTGTATGTGCGTGCCCGCACATGGTATTTTGTGGAAGAGCCACACTCAAGGGGCCAAAGAGCTACATGTGGCTCTCGAGCCGCAGTCTGCCGACCACTGATCTAGAGCCTCTCGGACCTAGGTGCTGATTTCTTCTGGCCGTTGACCGTTTTCCTGCCTATCCGTTTCTCCATGTAGTGGACATACAGAATCAAATTTACACAAGCACACTACTAAATACCAATGTGTCATATTAGCCAATTCCACCAGACAAAAGCCAAGAAAGGCAGTTGTTCAGATAATTCGGGGAAAGGAGTAACAATGACCTGGTTTCCCTGGGTCATTCAGGGAGAAAAACAGGGCTTATCATGGAAAGCTCCAGTTCGGGAGCATTATTAGAGCGTACTAGTGCTTCCTCCGAAAGTGGATTTGCCATGTTCTTACAGAAAAATATTCGGGGAAAGCCATTTCACCTTCAGCATGGTAATATTCCACTACTCTATAATAATTACAGTGCAGAGTGCTTTCAATCTGGAACTCAAAAAAAAAGGTGAAATGAAATGGGCATCGTAACACAACCAGCACAGGGCAGAAGTCAAGCTTGACCCGCACTCTCCGGGCTCAAGTTCAGCATCCTTCCCACCACCCCTCTCTGTACTTTGTTGTTGTTGTGTTGCTTACATAAGACTATTGAATGGTATGATCTTGGGATATTTCAGGGACAACATCTACGTAATGCATTTCATTGTGCTTGGGTTCCGGACTACAAGTTTGCAGCTCAGTCAAGAGCATGGTTGATACTAATGTCTAAGTTCACAACAGAAAGACCTGAAGTACCTTTGCATGCTGGTTTGTTTTTTCTTACCTGCCATCTCTCGTCCTGATGCGTGTCCTTTCTGAAGCTAAAGTCATACCACCAGCGAACAGAAAATCTCAAAATAACAATGACCAAACCCCCAAGAGCGCCAGCTGGACTCAGCAGGGAAATGCTTGGAGAATGATTTCTCAAAGACAAGGGCAGGTCCCTCAAAGAGGTGATGCAGTAACTCCCTGCTCAGGATGTGTGCTTCTCCTTAATGTTTCCCAGACTGCACTTGCTCTCCTGCTCCTCCCTGAACATGAAGTAATTTTTAAAAAATATATTTTATTGATTTTTTTACAGAGAGGAAGATAGAGGGATAGAGAGTTAGAAACATTGATGAGAGAGAATAATCGATCAGCTGCCTCTTGCACACCCCCTACTGGGGATGTGCCTGCAACCAAGGTACATGCCCTTGACGGGAATCGAACCTGGGACCTTTCAGTCCACAGGCTGATGCTCTATCCAGTGAGCCAAACCGGTTTCGGCCATGAAGTAATTTTTAGCAAAGAGCAAGCTATAGGAGAGACTAACGTGTTCTTGCATGAGCTGTCCATCACAAATAAAAGTAAGGCTACTCATTAAGACAGGAGTTTTTCCAACATAACTATACCTCCCTTTATGTAAGAAGGAATGTGCTCCTGGGGGGAGAGGGGAAGTGATCAACCAGATATGTGTAAAGAGAATCTTATTTTTCCCATTTTCTTACATTACCATTTCGAACCTTATCATTACTCTAACTGAGCCATGGGGCTCCTCCCTCCATCCTCACACCAGATAAGCAGTTCAGTAATAATAAAAACGTCAATGAACTCAACTGGCTCTACCTTACAGGAAATGTTACAAAGCATTCTATCATTTTTTACTATTTTTAATGTTTTTATTGATGAGAGAGAGAGAGAGAGAGATAGACACATCAATGATGAGAATCACTGATCACTGATTGAATGTGCCCTGACTGGGAATGCAACCTTGACCTCCTGCTTCATGAATCCACACTCAACCAGAGACACACACACACACACACACACACACACACACACGCACGCACGCACATGCACACGCACACGTACACACACACCGCCCCAGGGTCAAATTTTTTTTCTTATGTGGATAATTGCCCTTACTTCCTTTAAGTAGGGTGTGTGCACCTGCAGTGGGTTGCCTAGGGCCACGGGGCATGATAGATGGAGAAACATAAATCATGGTGAGTGATGTGGCCTTGACATTGATCCAGGTCTCCAGGCAGAGCTCTTTGGCCACTCTCCAGTGAGAATCCCGTTCTTGCCCTCCTTGGCACAAGGCACTAGTTAATCTATGGCACAGGGCACTCATTAACCTATGTCATCATTACATGAATGGAAAGTTTGTTCCCTCATGGCTCTGAGTGTCACAAGGACAGGAATTTAATTCAAGACAATAAAGGTTACCTGCAAGAGATAAACTTTTCAACAACAAAAAAAAATCATTACTTGGATTCATTCACAGCTCTGGGACTAGAGTGCCACATACTTCAGCACCTTCTCTTAAAATATTCCACATGTGTGGTCACAGACCAGCAAAGAGGAAAAACAAACTTGGCCAGTTAGCTGAACAGATTTCCGTATCTGATCCCAGTATATGAGCATCAAAATAAACTTTAAAATAAACAAACAAAGCTTGGATTTTAAACTGAACCTTCCACCGAGATCTGAGTTAAGGGAAGTGACAGGCCCAAGGTCACAAAGCCCCACACCCAAATACCCATCCCTAGGACATACTGCAGCATCAGACTGCTGTTTGCATTTGCTGGTTGAGATAGGATGAGACATCCGATAGATCTCAGCTGAAGGAAATACGAATTCTTGATCCTAATGGGCACTGAAAATAGGTCAGCAGGTATTATTCAAAAACAGATCCAGACTCTTAAATCTGGAAGCACTCACTGGGTTCAAAGGAAGGGTTGAATTTTGGAAATAAGTCACTTGATTAAAAAAAAAAAAAAAAATAAAATAAAAAAAAAAAACCTGGGTTACTGGAGGAAATCTAGACTTCGCCTGCCAATCAACAAAACGAAGTGGTGTCAAAAAGAAGTTTCAGGGTATGTTTATCTTTTAATGAAAAATCTAGGAACAAATCACTGCTACTATTAAAACTCGCAGATGTAAAGCTCCCTTGGCGCCGCAGCCTCTCAGAGAAACCCTACAAAAGCAGCCCGGCAGGTCTCCGGCATCCACACCGACTCGGATGCATTTTGGGAGCCCCGTGTGCAGTTCTAACCCCACTCGCACCCCCTCAGCAGCACCCTCACAAAGTCCTGAATTGCTCCGCTACACTTTTCCAGGTGCAGCGTCTGGGTTCCGGGTCCGAGGGGCTGGGGCGAAACCTTGGGGGGGGGGGGGCAAGTGTTGCTCGCAGAACACGGACATGGACCACTCCTGGGAACCCTCTCCCCCAGGAGAACGCCCAGCCCACCCACCGCCGGGACCCCGCCGCCAGCCTCCCCGAGTCCCTCCGCAGGACCGTCCCGCAGGCTCCCCTCGCCCAGACGTGACCGCCCCCTGTGCCCCGCGTTCAGCGGCTCCAAAAGCGGGCGGTCAGCTCCGGTCCCGAAAACGGGGACGGGCTCTGGGGGTGCATGCCCTCCTCCCCGGCTCCCCGCCGCCCGCCTTTCTCCCGGCCTCTCCAGCCGAGGTGGCCCGCCCTTCGGACTCCACGCAGACTCCCCGCCACCTCCCGCGTCGCCGACCCCTGCCGCCCGGCCGCCCGGCCGCCCGCCGCGCTCACCTGGGCCGGCGCCCGCGCTCGTAGCAGTGGAGTTCCCGCAGCCCATCGCGCCGCCGCTGGCCGGACAAGCGGCGCTCGCAGCCGGCGGCGGCGGCCGCAGCTCCCGGGGGCGGAGACGGAGGCGGAGGGCGGCGCGTCCCGAGCGGCGGAGGCACCGAGGCCAAGGGGGCGCGCGCGGACCAGGGCGCGGCGGAAACCGCCCGGCACCCTAGCCCCCGCCCCGCCCTGCCGGATCCCGCCGGGCCCACCCGTCACCTTGGCAACAGCGCGCCGGCCAATACGCAGCCGCCTAACGGGCTGCCCGACCCGCCATTGGTCGTCATTCAGAGGGGGCGGGAGTTTGAATTGGGTTTGGGGGCTAGGGCGAGGCTGAGGGGCGTGGCTGGTGCAGAAGCCGGACCATGGCATAGCTCAGTGGTCGGCAAACTCATCAGTTAACAGAGCCACATAGCAACAGGACAACGATTGACATTTCTTTGGAGAGCCACATTTTTTAAACTTAAACTTTTTCTAACGAGACTTCTTCAAAATAGACTCATCCAGGCCGTGGTATTTTGTGAAAGAGCCACACTCAAGGGGCCAAAGAGCCGCGTGTGGCTCGAGAGCCGAAGTTTGCCAACCACGGGCCTGGGAGCTGGGGATTCTCACTTGCTCACCCTGCACTACCTTTTTGCCTTCTCTTTTCCTTCCCCACCAGGACGTGGGGAGCAGAGGGCGTGGCAGGAAGCCCAATAAAATGGCATTGGCTGAATGATGCTCAGATCTGAAGCCAAACCGAAATGCATGCGTGCTTTAACGGGGAGCTAATGCTTTTCTGTCCCTGCGTCCACACTGGCTAATGAAGAACCGAAATGTTCCCAATGTTGGTCATGTTAACTAATTTCTCTTTAAAAATAAATGCCACCATTTCCGTAACCTGGATACAGGACCTCCGCTCTGAGTAAGGGGCAGAACTGTGAATGGACACGGCACCTTTCAGTCTAAGAGTTGAGTGAGTGTTAATGGAATCAGATCGTCCAGGCTACAATTCCTGCTCTGCCCCTCCTGACCTCATCAGAGTTACTTAACCCGTTAGTGTATCCGCTGTTTTACCTGTGAAATTGCAATACTAACTCAGGTACACACAACCCCTAACACAGTGCCTGCCAGTGCTGATCCTTTAAAAAAAAAAAAAAAAGCCAGCTATTCTTTTTCTTAAATCTATTAGACATGAATAATAATTCTCTGAAAGTAAGGACTGGATGATTTATCATAATGTCCTGGCTCATAGTACAGACTCGGTAAATGTTTTGTGAGATGAATTCAAGCCAAGAATTAAATCTCCATTTTAAACCCATCTAATATTTATAGAGAGCCTAGCCTGTGCCAAGTCTTTTGTTAAAATTAAGTTCCAAGGATATGAACATGTGGGAGCCAGTCTAACCAGGCAGACTGATTATAAGCAAATTAATTGCAATATAACAGGAATGTTAACGGAGGAATACAGGGTGCTTTGAGAGCCCGAAGGGATACTGGTTCAAAGACTTCCTAAAACCATCCTGTTGGTGTTTAGAGAAAGCCTGGAGGCAGGACCAAGGCCCTAGCGGGTGGTTCAATGTGCCCTGCCAGGCAACAGCGAGGACTGGGCAAACATATCACTCAGGAGCGTCATCCATCCTTTAAAAATTAGCTATACCTGGGCATGTGCTGGGATGGTAATTAATCCTTGGACAAATAGGGTGTGTTTGAGTTGTTTGACTTCTAGAAGCAGTTTCTCTACCTTGGCCTCCATTATATTGGTTCAGTGGCCATCCCCGGACAAATCCAGAATTAGCATGGAGTAAGCGGGGAACTTTCAAACAGCCAAAAGAAATCCTCTTGCTTGTTTCTGGACTGACACTGGACTCCAGCTCTAAGACGCTCACAAGGAAGAGTAAAACAGACCCTGACATCCAGAAACCGGCCTGACACAGCGAGGCCACTGAACACAGTGTACTCCCACTACACACAGCTGCACAGACACCAATATCATCAGAGAAGGCCACTCTACAACTGGGCTGAAGTGAGGCCAAAAAAGACCACTCAGCAATCTTGTCTAAGTTATGATAAAAACAGTGTCACTGGTAAACCACAAAAACACCAAACTCCGCCCCATCCTGGCTAAGAAGGATGACGGCTACTTGCTTCCAGTTACACCTTTAGCTCCGTTCCAGTCTTCCTGCCTCATAGAAAAGATTTATTAAGAATTGTCCCTGCTTCAAGAGCATATCCAATCCAGAAAAAGTCCTGCTTTCTTCTTTAACTTTTAATATATTTTTTATTGAGTTCAGAGAGGAAGGGAGAGGGAGAGAGAGATAGAAACATCAGTGATGAGAGAGAATCATTGATTGGCTGACTCCTGCACGCTCCCTACTTAAGAAGCAAAGTCCCAAAACCCGTGCATGAGCCCAGCCGTGAGCTCCTGCATTGAATGTCTTCCCCCTGGTGGTCAGTGCGCATCATAGCGACTGTCATTCCGCCATTTGGTTGATTTGCATATTAGCATTTTATTATATAGGATTCTTAGTGTTCTCTCTCCATTCTTTTAACAAGCACTATTGAGCAGCCACTTTGTGCCAACCACTTTTCCAAATGCTTGTGATATAGCAATGAACAAACCACAGAGGAAAAATCTAGTGGAAACAGAGGGATCAAAAGCAAACAAACTAACTAAAAGGTAATTTCAGATGCTATACATTCAATTGGGGGGAAAATAAGGTAGGGCACTAGGATAGGTGATGAGGGGTAGAGGGAGAGATGCTACTCAATATTTTAGGCAGGAGAGTTGAGGAAAGACCCTCAGAGGAAGGAATATTTTAGCTGAGTTCTGATGGATGAGAACATATCAGACATGTGAAAACCAAGGAAAGAGCATTCCAGACAGAGGTAATGCCATGTGCCAGAGCCCTGATGCAGGAACATGATGGGTACGTTTCATAAACAGAGGAAGGTCAGGAGGCACAGCTAAAGCAGAGATGGCGGTGGGTAATTGGAGAGGTATAATGGGCTTTGTAAGGAGTTAAAAACAATTTTTAGATATTTTTATTGATTTCAAAGAGAGGAAGGGAGAGGGAGAGAGAGATAGAAATATCAATGATGAGAGAGAATCATTGATCGGCTGCCTCCTGCCCACCCCCTACTTAAAGAAGCAAGCCCTAAAACCCATGCATGTGCCCTGACCTGGAACTGAACCCTGACCTCCTGGTTCATGGGTCTATGCTCAACCACCGAGCCACAACAGCCAGGCAGGAGTTAAAATTTTATGCAAAGGGCAATGGAAAGTCATTTGAAGAGACGGTGTATCATAAGTTCCTAATGAAGTGTTAAGCATATACTAAGTGCCCCATGAATGTCCATCGCCTCCCTAACGTGGAATGAAAGAGTAGTCCAGTGTTTCCTTTTTCCTTTTTAGGAATTTGTTTTATTTCATAGACAACAGTTCATTGCATTTGGATGTTTTCAAAAACAATGATGGCAAAAGAAAATTATTAATGCACGCCTCATTTCCTGGCTGGTCAATTTTAGCTTCTTTCTCTGCACTCGTTGAATCTTACCGTTCAGCTGTTTTCATTCTTCAAACAAGAGCTGATGTGGTGTGATGGAGAGAGAAGAGGTGTGTGACTGAAATCTGCCTGATAAGAAAAAGAAAGCAGAAGACAGGAGAACATGAGGCTAAATCCATTTTCATGGTGTTTCTTCCATAAAAGGCTGCCCACAAAAGTTTGCCAAACTGAGTTTTATTTTTGTTTTTTCTCTTTTTCCCCCGTTGACATACTGCGAGATGATTGCCTCAGCTCTGAGTAACACATCCACACACAGCAATCTCAGCAACAGAAAGGGGGATTTTCTCCCTTCCTGTCCTTTTTCATTAAAAAAAAAAGTATATATGTTCTTTGTTGGTTTTTAGAGATGGAGGAAGGGAGAGGGATAGAGAGAGAGATAGAAACATCAATGAGAGAGAAACTTGATCAATTGGCTGCCTCCTGCATGCCCCCTACTGGGGATTGAGCCTGCAATCCAGGCATGCGCCCTGATCAGGAATCCAACAGTGACCTCTCGATTCCTGGATTGATGGTCCATCACTGAGCCAAACCAGCTGGGCCTTTCTGTCCTTTCTAAAGCTGGACACTTCCTCTCCCATTTCATTGGCCAGAATTGGGTCACACGCTGACCCAATCATTGAGAAGGTAAATAGGATGGTTGCAATGGGCTCTGATAAGTTTCAATTTACCCCTGAATCATGATAGGGAGCGTAGGATAGACTCCTAAACAAAACTGGGGCTTTGCTGGGAGGGGGAAAGGGAGGGGATTAGTGGAGGGAGAGGAAAGGGGAATAATTAATATCTATTTAATTGGTAGTTTAATAGATGTACAAATGTGTCTCAATATCTCATTGTGTTCTGGATTAGGCTTCCAGCTGCCTTGAAGACGGGCCTGGACATATGCTTTGGCCAATGAAATGTGAGTAAAAATGAAATATAACTTAGAGCTCTGTGAGTTCTGGTCTGCTTGGAGTCGGGAGTCAGGAGTCAGGAATACAGGACTTATTATGGGGCACGCTTGAAAGATACAAGAGAAAAGGGTCAGAAATGGGCAGGAAAGCCTTCATGCTGCATTGCAGGTCTGACCCCCCTGGGGGCAATAAGAAGAGGTACCTAAGGAGGACTGGGTAGGAAGAAGCTCTGAGCTTGCTGCAGCTCTGGGAAAGTCTTGGCCAGGGCCATTGGGAACTTTCAAAGCCGGTTGCATGTGAGGGTAAGGGTGGTCCCAGGCAGAGATGACCAGGCTCCAGGACCCACTGTGGGCTACCAGCTGCCCAGAGAGATCTTGGTTTGGATTAGAACACAGCGGCGGATACTGAGGGCTGTCACGTGTGGAGGAGTTGCATCCTACATCAGCCTGGATTCCTCAGTGACTACATCAGGCAGGTCCCACCCACACCCACACAGGTCCCTGACCGTGAGCCAGAAGGAACTTTTGTTATGTTTAAGCCCCTGTGGTGTTAGGATTGTGTTATCATAACATATCAGGTCTCATCAAAGCAGAGCAGAGCATTGCATAATGTATCATAACACCGATATAGCAACAACCTATATCTGCTACGGTATGCATGGTCAAGTGCATTGGCATAAAACTGACCACAGTGGTTCCTTGTGGCGATTTTTATCTCTTCTATCTGTGACTGTGCCCCCAGAGTGTTCATTTGCACTTTGTCTTTATTTCTTGATTCGTCTTGCTATAGATTTGTCCATTTTATTGGAGTTTTCAAATTTTTTGCTATCTTTTTTGTTTTGTTT